TTTTTTTCATAGCTGCTTTAGACCATATAAAATGTTAATTCCTCTGGTCGGTAAATATGTTTAAAGCCCCTTCAAAATGTAATATTCATCTGAGGGTGTGACGCATGGATTTCAAACATGTCATTTTGTTTCCTCCCAGCTGAGGAAGTCTTACGGAGATGTCTACAGTATTTTCATCGGTTGTAAACCAGCTGTAGTCATCAATGGTGTAAAGGCCATGAAGGAGGCTATGGTGACCAAGGCTGCTGATTTTGCTGGACGACCTCAAGGCTTGTTCGTTAATGAGCTCAGTGATGGGAAAGGTAGAATTTACATCATATGTTATATGAGGTATAATGGAATAATAGTAAAATCTTCTTTATCAGAAATTCTAAGTGCGACTCAGAGTCAAATGTACGTTTTGGTGGGTGTTTTGTTGCTGCTTCTCCAGTGCCCCTGTTGTGACTTTCGCGTGCATCAAAACAAGCTAAACAGACTCACATTGGTTTATGTTTCCTACCTGGGAAAGTTGATGTTGCTGATGTTTTACTGACTTTAAACTACACTGTGAGGATCAATTGTTCACTTACGTTTTAGGCCAAGAGGTTGGAGAGCTTTGGAACAGGGAACATTTTTGAGTTCTTTCTTCTTTATGTTGCTCAACCTGTTGTAGGAGTCATTATGGCAGATTATGGCTCTAAGTGGAGGGAACAGCGTCGCTTTGCTTTGATGACTTTGAGGAACTTTGGTCTGGGAAAGAATTCAATGGAGGAGAGAATTCATGACGAGATCAAACACATCATCGGTACCCTGGAAAAGAACATTGGTATGTTCATCGATGGGTTCACGCAACAGTTTTGCACGGTGCTGTTGGTTTCAGAATATTGATTTGTACTCTCGTACAGTGCTGTCTTGTTTCATTATGTCTCCTACAGGTAAAACAATGAGCCCTAAGGTTATGTTTCATAATGCAGCCTCCAACATCATCTGCCAGGTTCTGTTTGCTAGACGCTACAAGTACGATGATGAGTTAATCAAACTGTTTGTTGAAGTCTTTACCGAGGTTTCAAAGATAGTCAATGGACCGTGGGCCACGGTGAGTAAAACTGACAGCAATGCTATCGAGGCAAAGTGTTTACAGTTTCCTAACAGGTCTGTGAGACTGCCTGGAGCATGCCAACATGGCTACAGTCTTCAGCTCAGTCTACAGCTGAAGGTGAAACGTCTTCAAGATCAAAATCCACTGTGGAATCACTGCTATGTTCTTATTGTTTAGAAGTCAGAATGGACTTTGTATCGACTTGTTGACTGTCCATGCAACATAGTTTTGCCAGTCAAATAAAAATCTTAAAAGTTATCTTCAGCAATACGTCTTCTTCCACCAATTATGTTGTTTGGTTGTTTTTCTGCAGCTGTATGACTCTTTTCCTATAATACGTAACCTGCCACTGCCCTTCCAAAAGGCCTTTAAGAAAATGGAGGTAATGTTGAAGATCATTCTTAACACACGTTTGTACAATAAAGATAGAAACATATGCATGCACACTGTCAGTGAAAAACGAAAAGTAATGAAGAATTGCATGTTTTAGATTTATAAGAATCTTTCACGTCACATGGTGAGCGAGCACAGAGAGACTCGAGTTCCCGGAGAGCCACGAGACTTTATTGACTGCTACCTGGATGAACTGGAGAAGGTGTGTGAGCGTGAAAAGGAAAGTAATAAATAAATGGAAATTCTCAGTATTTACTCAGTATCTTGTTACACAAGTATAACACTCATTCTCTTATATGTATGATAAGATACATTTTTGTCTTGCTTGAATGTTTCGTACAATTATCACTCTCTGCATTTTTAGAGAGTTGATGAAGAGTCTTCATTTTCAGAAGAAGAGCTCATTATGTACTCGCTGAATCTTCACTTCGCTGGGACTGACACCACCTCTAACACGCTTCTTACTGGTTTTCTTTACCTGATGAACTATCCACACATACAAGGTAATACGACTCCCCCCGTACTCATTTATAATCAAGAAAAATTCAACTTGTTGGCACATTTATAGTAAAATATTACACTACACTGCCGTGTTTTATTTGCGTTATCTGTCCACTAGATATTACTTTGTGCACACCAGATGTTTTTGTACGCTAGACTAAAACAAAACAATTGATTTTGATCCAAGATTTTGCTTTTTACTGTGAACAAAAATAGTCCCTGCTAGAGCTGTGCTTTCACAATCTTTTAATAATATGCAACAATTCCCATGTTAGAACCTAATAAGGTATACTTAGAAGTAGCTGGAAATGGTCTATAAGCCTGTGAAATTACATATGAATTTGTCTTGAATTTGTTTGGCTTTTTTTCATGTTAGGGTGTCGAAAAACAATGCAGAATTACAGCAAATGAAAAGCACCCATTATTAAAAACTTGACTAATCCTATGTTTAGTTCATCATTCACTCGTGGCATTTACCACATTGCTAATTTTCATTTTCTCTTTAAATAGCATTAACTGTTGTTTGTTACGTAACATTTGTTTTTGACTTTCTTTACAACACATTGTATGATGCAACATCTCCCGCAGAACGATGTCAGCACGAGATAGACCGAGTGTTAGACGGGAAGGACCACGCCAGTTTTGAAGATAGACACAATATGCCCTACGTGCAGGTACAAATCATACAACATATGTCTGGTCATATGTTTACTCATATTTTACAATGAAGACAAGAAGACCCAAATGCAGGGTATTGCAGACTGAACATTTCGACTGGTTATGTCGCTGCAGTATTGTCATGATCGAGCCAGCGTTTTGAGTTTTCATTTATGTTGATGGTTTGTGTTTAAGTTCATTTAGTTATAAGCTTCTAGGTTTCCAGTTACGGTTCATTGTTTATTAGATTATGTGGGCTCAAATTTTGGTCATAAATATTTTTTAACCTTGTAAACCCAAATATCTGAAAGTTTTTTGTTTCCGCATCTATAGAGGAGAATTTGTGAGTGTGTAAAAAGGATTTGTGTTTGTAAAAGATATTTACAGAAGTTACAAATTTTTTTGCTATGGTCTGCTTACAGATACAAAGAAAACAAAAACAGAAGCATTTATGTGTCGACTAGGCGTGTCATTGACAGCAATAAAAGTTGCAATTGCCCTGTCTATTTCTTTTGCCCTCTTATAACCATGTGCTAACGGCTGTCTAAATGACTCGGGTAGAGTTTGTAGGATGTGTGCTTGTTGTTGTTTTTGTCTGCTTCCACTTGTCTTTGCACTAGGGTGATGTCGACATAAATGTGCAGTCATATTCGTTGTGTTCCCACCGATGGAATTGAGCATTGCGTGACACAATCCAACATACTGTTGTACTTTAGTCCATGACGTGCTTACCATCAGGGTCATGCTTCACATGAAAACCAAAATAGTTCCAAACGCCAGATCTGAATGAGGGTGCGGGAGGTTCAATTTCGGGTAGCGTTGAGGCAGTTGCCATGTTGCAACGAGCTTAACTTCTGTCTCGCTAGCTTGAGTGAATGCATATGGGCGGTGCTTAGTGGATCTGTGCTCAACAATGCAGCCTAGGCGGAGTAGTCAAACGCAGATCCACTGAACTCTCAACACAGACAGCACCATCAGAAGAAAAGTTGATAAAATAAATGGAAAATTTTGTATTGTTCGATACATATGCGTACCGAACCGAAAGCACTGTATCCAACAGTTCAATACAAACACATGTATTGTTGCACCCCTAGTGTTGACAATGCACAACTTTCAAGGATAGAAGACATACTAAAGACAGAGACAAGAAGACTCACATTAAACATGAAGACGGAGACAAATGCTTTGCAATGGATCTTATGCTTCTCACCTTATAACATCTGGGAGAGGCTTCGGACAAAGTTTGCTTTGTCATTGATTGAAGCCATTGATTTGGATAGCTGTTGTAATCATTCATTCATTACAATCTCTTTATAGAGAGAAACTAGATAACTGCTAGTACTAGTGAGCCTGCACTGTTTGTCTTTTGCTCTATGCTACATAAAACATGTCTTAATCCAGGCAGTGATTCATGAAGTACAGAGGGTTGCCAACACTGTTCCTCTCAGCGTCTTCCACTGCACCACCAGGGACACAGAGCTCATGGGATATTCCATTCCCAGGGTAAGAGGCAACTGGCTATATAGGTTTTAGGAATAGAGGCAATGAAGAGTTTTCTTAATGTCTTTTATTGTTTTGGTGTTTTTTCAGGGTACAGTAATTATCCAGAATCTGACCTCAGTACTCAACGAGGACGGACAGTGGAAATTCCCTCATGAATTCAACCCAGAAAACTTCCTAAATGACCAAGGAGAGTTTGTTAAACCAGAGGCTTTCATGCCTTTCTCTGCAGGTACAAGAGCATAGACAAATCTTACTTGGAGCAGCAGCAGAGACAGGGTTGTAATATGTTGTCAAATATGTGTTCTACATGGTACTGAGACCTTTTTTAATGTCTCAGGTCCTCGGGTGTGTCTCGGAGAGGGTCTGGCTCGTATGGAGCTCTTCCTCATCATGGTGACTCTGCTGAGGAGATATCAGTTCATCTGGCCCGAGGACGCAGGAGAACCAGACTTCACTCCGGTCTACGGGATCACCTTAACTCCCAAACCTTTTAGCATGAAGATCCAACTCAGGACACCACAGTGAGATGGTGTGCAGACGCTGTAGCTCAGTGACTCAGATAAAAATAGAGTCATACTTAGAATTGAATAAAAAAAAATTCTGCTGCCTTAAAGTCAACAGTCACAAAAGTAAAATATACATAAATTGGGCGAGTGCACCTATCCCAACATAGGGTTTGATCCTTAATTAGTCTCTAAACTATGTATTAGATTTTCCCAAATACTGCAGCGGCTACCCTGTGGCAACGCTTTGTGTGATTTGGAGCTATATAAAAAAAAACCTGACCAACAGTCGTCCAACATCTAATTTGGAAAAAAAAAAGATGTGTGAATGTGAATCAATTCAAATTTCAAATTCAAATTTTATTTGTCACGTACACAGTCATACACAGTACGATATGTAGTGAAATGCTTGGACAACTGCTCGTGACCTAAAGAAAACAAAAAAGGAAAAGGCTATGAATAAGATAGGAAATAAATATGAAAAATTAAAAAAGGGTAAATTTAACTAGGAAGGAATAAAATATAAATTAAGGTTAAAAATGAAATAACTGTACAACACAAATTAGAATGAAGGGTAAATTTAACTGGGAAATAAGATAAAATATATAAATTAAAGTTGAAAATAAAATAACTGTACAACAAAATACACAATATAGAACTATATAAGAATGTATGAAGAAATATAAATAAATATATACACAATAACAGCAGCTGTACAAGTATTAACCGGAAATGAAGAATATAGTGACCAGTGTTGTGCAAAAACAAAGTCCAGAAAGTCCAGTGTGTGTGTAAGAACCATATGTGTGGGTCAGTACTGTGTGGTGGTGTGATTGAGAGACCGTATCGCCTGCGGGAAGAAGCTCCTCCTCAGTCTCTCTGTGTTGGTCTTCAGGGAGCGGAATCGCTTTCCTGACCTCAACAGAGAGAACAGTCTGTTGTTGGGATGGCTGAGGTCCTTCACGATCTTCCTGGCCTTGGTCCAGCACCGCCTGCTGTAGATCGAGTGCAGGTCAGGGAGCTCGGAGCGGATGGTGCGCTCAGCTGACCGCACCACACCCATCATTGTGTTAATAAAGAGTGTTTTCTCTCATAGAAGTGAAACAATAAATCCATTACAACCCAGATTTGTGTGTGTTGTTTTACACTCTCATTGTTATGCAGACTCTTTTTTGAGGTCATCTTTTGTGACAATTAATTTTAGTTATTGGTTGTTCAGCAGATCTTCCTGGTTTTCAGACATTAACAGAAACTCATTTACAACTGTCCCAGATTTAAAAACTCACAAAACACATGTATATTCTTTACATCAGCCCGAATTACAGGTCTTTATAGATTTTGATGGTAAGAAACACTTTAACTTAAAATGGGTTAACAGACAATTTTTAATTTCATCATTTCACAGAAGTTATTATAAATACAAATAAAAATAACATCATTCGTTTTTTCACTTGATATAATAATAATAACTTTCGGTTGTAGTTTCTTGTTTTGTATTTTGTATGTATGTTAAATCTACAACATGTATTTTAATTTACTGTCTCTTAAAAATACAGAAATATTCTAAATATTAATTACAGAAAGCTTATATATTTTTATATGATGGTATCCATCCATCCGTCTTCTACAGCTCATCCAGGTTCAGGTTGTGGGGGCGGAGTCTGTGGAGAGTGGCACAAAGAAGCCCAGACATCCTCTGCCTATATAATGAGACATTTACAGTTTTACCAGGTCTAACTGATTACAAATAGCTTGGGGAAAAAATGGATCCCATTGATGCGACCGTCTCAGGAGTACATCACGCCCACCCACATAATATTCAAACCTTTGATTTACGAGGAGCAGCCAATCAAAGGAAAGTGGGTGGAGCTGCTCCAAGTACCAGTACAACATTTTTAAAAAGATGGTTTGAAATGCAGTATTTTTCCAATATTGTGAATCATGCAAATCCAAGAATAAATATCTGAAGTTGTAAAAACAGTCCTAATACAGGCATCCATTGTTTTTCTTTTTTTAAACTTTTGTCAGTTAAACATTAAAACAAAAAGTACAATTTTAAATATTTTCATTTCTATATATTAAATTAAAAGTGAAGTAGGCATCATAGGTACCATTATGTTCTGTGGCAACAGTGATAGCAGACATTTGCTTGCCTATGATGGCACAGACATGCGTAGATCAAGACGGTGAACAAATGACTAACCCGATTCAGTGCCTCTGCAGGCCCCACGACTGTGCAAAGGTTGTCTGTGTTTGTACAGTAAAGGGTTAAGGTTAGGGTGTACAAAGGCCCGATGAAACAGAATACATTGAATCACAGCATCACCATGTTTGCATCTGTTGCTCTGATATTGTTGTTGGTGTTGTTGCTTCTCCTGCGGCTTTTTTCAGCATACAGACCCAATAATTTCCCTACAGGCCTGCGACCAATCCCCGTCTTTGGAAACCTGTTGGATCTCAATTCAATTCAATTTTATTTATATAGTGGCAAATCACAACAAAAGTCGCCTCAAGGCGCTTCATAGATACAG